TTCCTTCTGTACTCAAGTACAAGAGGCCAGTCTTTAAGATTCAGTGGCATAATCTGACGCAATGAAAAGGATTGCTTCTTATGATCCTCATGCAAAGATCAATAATTCAACATCTTCATTCCCCGCACAGACTAAAATTGGTGACTTCCAAGCACAATATTTGATAATTGATTCACCCTATAACAACAACAACAACAGGCCTTTATCCCATTAAGTGGGGTCGGCTACATGAATCCTTTTCTTAATTATGAATCCTTGTCTTTAAGATTCAGTGTTTTTGAAATCATGCTAATTTATTTTTAAAATAAAACATAAAAAACAGACAAAAATGCATTAAAAAATACAAGTGATCCCAAACAAGCCATTGAGGGTTGTTTGGTTGCAAGATTTAGCTTAAGATTTAGCTATGATGTAAGCTAAATCTTCCCAAACAATGAATCTCTATTGTCCCTTGATTTTGATTCTCGAGTGAAGCCATCATGGCCTTTCTTATTCTTATAGTAAGACTAACATAATTTTAAATTTAATGTCATGCATCATTTACCCTAATCTAATTTATTTTAGTCTTATAGTAAGACACATTGATGACTACTTTGCATGGCTTTATATATGAATTTAATATATAAATATCTTAGTTGCTACTTCTTTTGTATCAGATCATGAAGCACGATCCAATCGGATCCATCTCAAGCGGTGATTCGGACTTTGATGTTGATTATTACGATGATGATTTTGATGATGTTGATAATTCCGCTGGCTTGCTTAATGTTGATGTATGGAGTGATCATGAATTCAGTTATACCGAATCTACTGATGAGAGTATAGACGACTACGATGATGATGACGACGACGACGACGATGATGATGATGATGTTGTTGATGATGACCTTAATGATGATGTTATAAATGGTTTATGTGCTACTAGATGATGGTATAGAGTCTACTTATGTGATTTATTACTATCAAATAACACATTTGTCCAAAGCCAATGCAAAATGAAGGTTATGAATCCCATTGGGAGCAGTGTAAATGTGGAGCGAGTTATTTTTTTTAAATTACGCAATTTTTCTTGTATTATTTTTTTTTGTAGAATTTACTTGCAGAGCACCTGAAACATAACTATTTACAAATCAAGCTCCCTCTATCATTCTTTTTTCAAATTCTCGCTCAAATAAGAAAATCATGATAAAACCCTAACTCATGTTTTTCATTTTTATCAAATTCTCAATGGTATGATTGTGGCATGTGAAAATATATCGATTCTGTATTTCAAAAAAATACCTTGATGAGTAATTTGTAAATATCAATATTTTAAGGAGGTATGTATGTAGTTATCCCAAGAAAGAAATATTAAATTTTAGGGCATAATCTTGTTGGGCCCATACTCATTAAATATTTACTACACAAGTGATATATAGACAATTATGCTTGCATAATATATGAATAAAGTTTTTATAAATTTTTAATATACAATCTATGGTAAATAATCATGTAATTACATAATATCGAGTATATACAGGGGTAGATCCACGCTGGCTCCATGGGGGAATTGTCCCCCTCAAATTAAGATTTTTTTACTTATATTGGTGAGCAATTTAGTCTTTTGTGCCTCCTAAAATATCAAATTTATCCCTATTAAAATAACATTTTATCCTTCATTGCTCTAGTTTCTTAAAAAAGAGATTGGTTTCACCCCTGAGTATATCTAACATTCTTGAAATACTCTATTAAGAACTTCTAACCAATGTCTTTTTCACTAATGCATTTCTTATGTGATTTAGAGGTTAAGGTATGTTTAGTCCCAAACATAGTAAATAACTAGACGATTTTGTAAATTTAATTATTTTATTTTTATGTGCAAAATTTTTCCTCCCTTGCCCAGAATGAAGTTCGATGCTTATTCCCCTAAAGTGATTTTGTAGATATTTATGTGTATACATTAAAAAAAAAAGTGAGCATGAATCTCAAAGAGAACGAACGAACAAGATAAAAGAGTCTCTTCCCGAGGTAAGCAATGAACTGACGATTCAAAGCAGAGCATTAAGCTGTGTTTCCAAACTTGAGATAAGTTCAAGCTCTGGAGATGGTTTCTGGCTCGGTAGCAACAAAACCCGCCGAAAGTGAGGCGCAAATCACCTTGGCACCGAGTATCGTTGGATACCCCACATAGGCTACGAGAAGATTCTAAGACCTTGTGAGATTGAGAGATCCGTCCGAGGCAAAAAACAACCAGGTAAGCGAGACACGAGCCTTTCAAGACTTGAGCCAAATGGAGAATGATTAACAACTCACTCAACAAAAAAATAACCCCGCGTCTGGACCTCACAACCGACAGCTCCGGTCAATCATGTCAAAAAGACACTAAACCAAATCGCCATGCGCCAGATCACTTTGGCCGACCAACACGTACTTCAAATGACACAAACACAGCCTTTGTTGGCTGACTTCAAGCTAACAGACCAGCTAATTACTGTCAATGTTGAAATTCAAATTATAATACAAATATAACATAAAATCTATACAAGCAATTAGAGCTTTAATGACATTAAGAATGATTTCTATAACTGTTGTCTTATTTCTGTAAACATAGTAAAAATATGAATAAACATGCCTCCCCCTCGATTCTCTCTACAAAAATTTCAAACTTATTCTACTAATTCTTCATTCTCTCATTCATTCGACCTTAACTCTCGAGGTGTGATTCAAAAAGGATAAATTATGATCTATCATTATGTGTGTGTAAATTTTAAAATTTTTACAAAGTGAAATACATCTTTTTTTATATCCATGTAAGGTGACAAACAAGTAAAAATTAAAGTTTTAAGTTTTAGATATGTAAATACATATGAGTTGAATATCATCTATGCAAATTTTCTAGCACTTGACCGGTGTAATTTCCCTAATAATGTTATAAGTTTTAATTGCACATATTGCACTTTGGGCTCCCATAATAAAAGTTAATTTGAAAAGTGGTCAGAGTTTGGAGTATTTATTTATTTTATTTTATTTTAGGCATTTACATAATATATATATATATATATATATATATATATATATATAT